GAGAGAGAGAGAGAGAGAGAGAGAGAGAGAGAGAGAGAGAGAGAGAGAGAGCGAGAGCGAGAGCGAGAGCGAGAGCGAGAGAGAGCGCGAGCGAGAGCGAGAGGGGGGGTCACATCACAAACACATACCAGCTTCATCACTGTGTCTGTCACGCGACTCTGTTCCCCTTTCGGGCTCTGTCTTTACATTTATTTTGAAAGATGAAGCTCGCAATTATGGTAAGGGGCGTTACATTTCCGACGAGTGCTTGCGGTGTTCGGCCAATCACAATGCACTGGGTCAGCTGGCCAATCAGAGCAGACTGCGCTTGTCGGAAGGAGGGACTTTGTAGAAAACGAAGCGTTTGAGAGAGGCGGGGCATAGAGGACCTACAATAATGTACAGTATTTGAAAAATAATGTGTTTTTTGAACATTAAAGCATGTCAACATATTCTGTTACACCAAATACACAAAATAATGATCTTTAAAAAAGCATCATATGACCCCTTTAAGATAATAATACAAATACGATGTTAAATTAAACATCTTGTTCAGTGGAACAGGAAGGTCATTTCAAAAGAGAAGTTATTACATTTAGATAACAGATAATGAACACATTCTGATAAATCCTACTCGATCAGAACACATGTATTAGGTATATTCATTGAACATGTATTAAGAAAGTAACTTAAAGCTTGACAGATACACCTATGTTTGACAAGTAAATTCATAGATGTTTTTAAATGACAATAAAATGTTCAAATTGTTGTAACGTTTGGTCTGACAGTTTTATACAATAATAAATCTTACTTCGAGTAGAATGGACTAAAAAGAAAAGAATATGGTGAAATATTTAAGTTAAAGAACATTATTGTTAAAAGTAAAAGTGTTCAAAGACTTTCCATGTGCAATTCTGTACTCTTGCAAGTTAACATTTTTATTGTATGTTGCTTGTGTGCAGTGTATAATACTATGCGTTACATCATCAAGTTGTTTTGCAGATCGGATATCCGTATCAGCTCTCAAATTTTGCATTTGTGCTTCTCTAGTAGCGAATGCCATTTAGGTTGACTGTAAGTCTGCTCTCAAATTGTGACTCAAAGAGGAACTGACACATTTTGTGGCTGTGTTTCATTCTTGATGTCTGGACAGAACTCAGAGCGGCTAATGATAGAAGAACAGAAGCCTGAAGCAACCTAAATGCTAGGGTACAGCTGTGTTTGTCTCTGTGGCTTTAAAACAGACACTGAAGCTACTGAAGCTCAGGCCAATCAGAAGCATTTACAGTGTTTAGAGTGAATTATTTAGTACTAAAATACTTCCTGTATTTTAACTTCTTATTTTTCTAAAAATATAACACTCGTACATCCTTTTTGATGTCTGTTTTGAATCAGAAGGTACCAACAATATTATTTTACCTTTTCCAGCTACATTTCCTGTCACATATACGTCAATCTGGCGCACTTCACTACCCTGTTAGCTCAGATACGTTTTTAGACCGTGGCGCCTCACTGATGTGCGGTTTATGATCTAATTCAGTATGAGCTTTCACTCGACCAGATTGTTGCTGAAAGGTAGAAACCTGAACTCAGATGTGGAGTTGTACTTTTAAATCATTGCCGAATGCAACCCCAGAATGCTTTTTGGCCGGAGGAAGCTCTTAATAAGCGAGCTTTTCAACTCTTTGATCGTATAACCTCAGACTCAAGACGTAATCTTTTAGCTGTGACTCCAGTATCAGTGTTTACATAGTCTGTCTTTGTACGTTTGTAAGTATGTTAGCGTAAACGTTCCTTTCTGTGTGTGTGTGCTGGTTAACAGCGCGTGCTTCACATCCTTACAAGGACAAGAGAAAGAAACTAGCTGGATATGAATTGTCCCGAGCGCTCGCACTCACACAGGCAAAGGGAGGGAGCCGCTAGCGGTGGAAGAGAGAGCGTGGAATATTATTTCCTGTGTTTGCCGCTCTGGTTTCCGCAGTCCACCCCTCTGCTGCTTCAGTTGTGTGTAAGAGCGCTGCTGAGTGATGTGATAAGAGTCACCACAGATAGCTCTCCTTTCTTCATTGTCCTGCTTTCTTTTTCATTTTTTTCCCCACTTCCTTACTTGCTCTCTTTCTTGTTCATTTCCTATTGTCTTGCACTGTTTTAGCTTCCATTTTTGCTTTCTTTCCAACATTTCTCCAGTTTTTCTGGGTTTCTTCCTTATGCAATTCCTTCTTTCTTTCCTTGTTTCCCATGTTCTTTCTTTTATCTTTTCTTTTCAACTTTCTTCCCCATCTTTCTTTCTTTCTTGCTTGCTTTCCCACTTATTTTTTCCCATATTTCCTCTTTTTACTTTTTAGCTTACTTCTAGCTTACCTTATAACTTTCTTCCTGTCTTTTCCAGTTTCTTCATTATACTATTCCTTCTTTCTTTCCTTCTTCACTTACTGTTTTTTTTCTTTCCTGCATTCTTCCTTTTTTTCCTGTTTTTTTCCCCTCTGTTCCAGCTTTTTTTCCCTTCCTTCCTTCCTTCCTTCCTTCCTTCCTTCCTT